AAAAAACACAGAAAGGATTTTTAAAAAAAAAAAAAAAAAAAAAAAGAAATTGCTCTTCCCCTCTCTCGTCAATCCATGTCTATGGTCTTTAAGATAACTTGTTATACAAAATTATTTATTTATCTAAGATGCACCTACACTGAATTTATCTGAAAAATAAAAAAGTCGATATTAAGAAAAAATTGTAAATGTAAAATTATAAGAGAGGGTTTTGCGTGCCAGCAAAAATTACTGGCGTGCCATGTTTGGCACATGTGCCCGGGGTTGCCCACCCCTGACCTAAAGTAATCACCAAGAATGGTCTGAAATTAAAACTTTAACTAAAAGCAGTTATGGTGGGGCCCTAGCTGGTTTGGCTCAGTGGACAGAGCATTAGCCTGGTTACTGAAGGGTTCCAGGTTCGATTCCGGTCAAGGGCACATGCCCGGATTGAGGGTTCTGTCTCCAATTGGGGGCGTGCAGAAGGCAGCCCATCAATGATTCTCTCTAATCATTGATGTTTCTATCTCTCTATCCCTCTCCCTTCCTCTCTGAAATCAATAAAAATATATTTTAAAAATAATAATAAAATAAAAGCAGTTATGGTGGGTAATCACCTCCTAGGCCGGTATCTTCCCTGACAAGGTCAACCTTTACCTTAACTGAGCCTATTGTCTTTTTTTTTCATTTACATAACATATCGTTGAAATGTCAAGGTAACTTGTAACTTCTCTTTTTTCGAGACCTCTCAGGGCACAACCAAATGCTTGGGTGGCAGGACAGGTACCACAAATCCCTTCATTGTAGTTATCATGTTACTTGTTGACTGTTCACTAGCCGGTACTCACCTAAGTAAAAGAAGTATGTCTATCATTTCTTTTTATCCAATCCCAGAGGTTTCCCTGCATTGCTTTCTCCTGCCTCTCTAATCTATCACCAATGGATTTCATGTAACCCCCTTGTGTCTCCTCCTTTGATTGTAATGTATAAAACAAGGTGTAAACTGCCATTCTCTGGAGCATTATCCCAATCCGTGGAGATTATGCTTCCTGGCAATTGCTAACAGTTTAGCTCAAATAAACTCGCAAAAATTCTTTTCAGGTTTGAATGCTTTGACTTCAACAGTTTCTAAGATTCTTACCGCCAGTGACTTTGTGCCAAATGACTCGATCCCCTGAGCATGAGAGGAGGGGTGAAGACTGTTGGACACAGAGGGGCTCTTATGAGAAGTAACTTGATGGCAAAGAACATACAGGTGTTGGCAGCAGCGGGAATGGCGCCAGGTGTTTGGTGGGGTCAGACCGGACCTGGGTTCAGCAACCTTGGTACTTGAGTTCTGGCTAGGAAAGAGTTCAGAGCCAAGACCCAGACTATAAGAGAACATTTACTTAGAAAATCACAGAGGTAGAAGTCATTCATAGAAGAAATGGGCTTAGGAAACATGTTACAGAGGCAAAGAAAGGACCCTTGGAGCTCAGAAGTGAGGAAGGTCAAGGTGACTGGCCAGGGGACACAGGTGGGTTGGGATGGGGAAGGAAAGGTGAGGGCATGCTCCTGGGATGGAGAGCTCACTGGGTCTTGGGTCCTAAGAGTTTTAAGGGTTGAGATTTTAGGAGAGGTCCCAGGGGAAGATCTCAGTAGAATTTTCAGCAGCTCTCCAGGTGTGTCCTTTCAGGGTCAAGGTCTCCACAGATTGACTGGTTGCACCAGGGCAGGGGGTAGTCAATGAAGCTGGTCCTGAGGCAGCCATGGTGTTGTCTGCCACGTTTTGCTGCTTTTCTGGGCCTGAAGCTGAAATATAATTGAGGCCTAGATGTTATCCGAGGGACAAAAGGTCAGGAGGTCATCATCCTTGCTCTGCTCATATCTGTTTAACTGCCTACCACACAGGTACCTACCTTAAAGGAACCTAGTACTAAGGTTTGCTTATTTCCAAGGATGACGGTAAAAATATTTAATAAGCAGCATAGCATGAATTCTAAGGACACTAGCATTGATGGTAGCGTGGCCTACTTTGTCGCAGAATCCTTTTTTTAAATATATTTTTTAAATCCTCGCCCGAGGATATTTTTTTTCATTGCTTTTCAGAGAGAGTGGAAGGGAGGGAGGGTGAGAGAGGAGGAGAGAGAGAGAGAAACATCGGTGTGAGAGAGACACATTGAGTCCCACATGTGCCCCAACCAGGGTGGGAATAGTATTTCAACCCAGGTATATGCCCTTGACCGGGAATTGAACCTGAGACCTCTCAGCATGCTAGCTGATGCTCTTACCACTTAGCAACATAGGCCAGGGCACCAGTTCGAATCCCGGTCAGGGCACATGCGTGGGTTGTGGGCTCTATCCCCAGTAGCAAGCATACAAGAGGTGGCTGATCAATGATTCTCTCTCATCATTGATGTTTCTCTCTCTCTCCTGAGACCACCCCTAAGATTTCCACCTGCAAGAAGGGGATAAATACGCTCAGAACAAAGGGCCCAGTGCATGCACTCCCTCCAAGGGACACGCCCGTGCCAATCCCTTCTCCCTCTCCTTCCCCCACAGGCACACACACCCCAACTTCTAAGGGACGCCATGACACTTGCAACCAGGGGAGCAATGGGCAGCGGCAGCTCATCTTGGGCTAACCTCCTGAGCCTGTCTCCAAGGCCCCTTTTCTCTGACTTCTCAGTGAGCCCACGCAGCCCAGCCTGGGCTCTCCTGTTGCTTCTTCTATGCCCTTCCTTGTTTCACTCTCCTAAGCATATTTTTGCTGCGGTCAATAAATTCTTACTTGCTTTTCTACATTTTGAAATCTTTTCTCTTGATTGAAATCTTTCTCTCAAGAAGACAAGAACTGAGGTCTCCTTGGTAACAGAAGGACAAAGATTACATGGGGAAGTAGGCAAAAGGAATAACAACGGGTACAATGGCCACAGGCAATAGGGTGTGTGTGTGTGTCTGCCCACGCACAAAGGGTGGGCACCTTCAGGTCTCCAGTGCTTCAGCAACAAGGTTGTTTATCTTTCCATGATGATAGGCGGTTCCCCTAAAAGGAGAATGAACGGACTGCATTCTGAGGTTAACTCCCATGTCCCCGCGGCGTAGAACTCCCAGCCAGGTTAGAATGTGCTTTCTCTAATCAGAACAAAACAATCATGGTTAACAGAGCATGATTAATATTTCTTACTAGAGACCCAGTGCACAAAAATTTGTACACTTGGAGGGGCGGGGGTGGTCCCTCAGCCCGGCCTATGCCCTCTTGCAGTCTGGGACCCCTTGGAGGATGTCCACCTGCTGGCTTAGGCCCACTCCCTGGAGGATCAGGCCCAAGCTGGCAGTCAGACATCCCTCTTGCCGCCCGGAAGCCCTTGGGGGATGTCCACTTGCCAGCGGGGAGCTGGCCTAGCTGCAGTCGGACATCCTTAACACTGCTGAGGAGGTGGGAGAAGCTCCCACCCCACCCCCTGGTGACAGAAGCTCCTAGCCTCTCCTTTTTTTTCTTCTTTTTTCTGGGATTTATTTACCTTCTATAATTGAAACTTTGTAGCCTGGGCGAGTGGGAGGGAAGCTTGGCTTCCTCCATCGCCAGGGGCAACCCACTCCTTCTCGCTCCAGCTCCGTGGCCACAGCTGGCTGAAAGCAGGTATCTGGGGTTTATTTACCTTCTATAATTGAAACTTTGTTGTTTTGAGTGGAGCTCAGAGCTGGCTGCGGCAGCTGGGAAGCTTGGCTTCCTCTGTCATTGGGGCAACCAAGCCTCCTGCTTGCTCCAGCTCTGTGGCTGCCGGCCACCATCTTGGTTGGGTTAATTTGCATATAGTGGCTCTGATTGGCTAGCAGGCGTGGCTTAAGGTGTAGCAAAGGTACAGTCAATTTGAATGTTTTTTTATTAGTGTAGATAATTATAGCACAGCCGTGGGCAAACTACGGCCGAGGGCCGGATCCGGCCCGTTTGAAATGAATAAAACTATTGAAAAAAAGAGACCGTACCCTTTTATGTAATGATGTTTACTTTGAATTTATATTAGTTCACACAAACACTCC